AAACATTTGGAACATGATAAAGTAATTTCAAGTAATTCATGACAAAGGTTCTAATGATTAAGATTTATGGCCAGCAAGCCACTCCCACAAAGGAGGCCACACCCACAGAATAGGTTTGAAATATTTTTGAAACCCACCACTGCTTTATACCCCATTTTTCTCAAGACGAGTATATTTCATTTCATCTTTACAGCAACCAAATGGGCCAAAATGGCCATAGCAATCCAACAGCTGATGGTGGACTTGCACTGCCTTTTCCTGGCTAGAAATCCAAGATCTCCCAACCAGTGGTGGGAGTCAGCCAGTTCGCACCACTTCAGGAGAACCGGTTGTTAACTTTCCGAGCAAGTTTGGTGAACTGGTTGTTGGAAGAAATAATTAAGGCAGAGAACCGGTTGTTAAATTATTTGAATCCCACCACTGCTCCCAACCAATTATTTAATTAATTCAAGCTAGATTGAACCCTCATTTTATAGTTCTCTTATTTCCAAGAGATTTTTGAGCCTTGGCCACGCTAATATCCAATCATTATACGGTTCCCTGTCGTGTTAAAAAGACACCTGTGTCTAGCTTCCTTTGGTAACTTCACACCTTGCTTGAAAAGTAAATACATGTAAAAAGTGCAAATATACTAGAAACACTTTGGAAGTAATTAAAACCAAAATGAATTCAAAAGCACCATGACATTAAAACTCTAATTAATACGCAATCTAATTTGATCACTTTGCATAGATATTATAGGTAGACAGAAAATACTCTGTGCTTTTGCAAGTCATCCTCGGATTGAACCTCATACAAAATGGAAGCTAATGGAAAATAATGCTGAGCATTTAAAAAGAAAATGAAAGGCATGAGGGTGATGGGGATGGCAACTGGTTCATACATATGACCGTTGCTGTGTCCCAAGGTAGTCCTTGACTTATGACCACCACTGAGCCCCAAATTTATATTGCTAAGTGAGAAAGTTGTTAAGTGAGTTTTGCCCCATTTTACAAACTTTCTTGCCACAACTGTTAAGTGAATTACTTCACTTATTAAATTAAGTTGCTAAGTGAATCTGGCTTCCCCCTTAACTTTGCTTGTCAGAAGGTTGCAAAAAGGGAATCCTGTGACCCCCCCAGGACACGTCATAAATGTGACTCAGTTGCCAAGCATTGAAATGTTGATTACATGATTATGGCGATGCGGCAATGGTCATAAAGTGTGAAAAATGGTCAGACGTCACTTTTTTCAGTGCCGTTCTAAGGTTGAACGTCACTAAATGAACTGTTGCAAGTCGAGGACTGCCTGTATTTTCATGATGGGAACAGAGGGTAAGAAAATTGTCCTCAAACCAGGACTGTGACAAGAGCAGGACATCAAGCAGATTCATTCCAATGAGGCAGCAAGGTAGATAGCAGGATATTTTCCACATGGAATTGCGCCACTAAATTTTTAGATGTTGTTTTTAAAATGTGTTGCTCTGTAGGTAGGAAGTGAACGTGCCAGAAAGGCATTTTAGCGTAGCTCTGTCCTTAGTATGCTTCCCCCCACCCTAAAAGGAGATGTTTTCTGCTGACAAAATAGCACTCTCTCCTATTCAATAAGAGCTTTTGTTATTTATGCTAATTCCTGTTAATGGCTATGGAACTGGAATATTTATTTCATCCTCCCCATAACTCAATTCTACCAAGTTCTCCCAAATCAGATCAACAGCAAAAATGTCTGAATAATCATATTAAAAGCCGAAAAGGGCTATTCTTTCCCTCTTCTGTTAGGCAACAGACTTTTCATTAAAATATTATTTAAGAATCACCCTGGAGATGATGAACTTCCTTTTATTGCACTGAATGTAATTCCCTGTTTCATATGTGTCACTGCGATGTATGTTTTATTTTTTTTAAAAAATTGATTATATACTTCTTTGTTTTTAGTCCCAAATTATGTATTTGGGAAATTCTTTGCTGCTCAAAATCAGTAGACTGAAGCAGCCAATAAGCCTTGTTAATAAATAAATAAAAATTCAAATAAGTACATTCTGTTTAGATTTGGCTGAATTCTGGATCATTAAGCTGANTTAGCCACTGAGCCACCATGTCCCTCAGAATGACCATAGGTGGGCAAAAATCAGTGGGAGCAACATCCTGCTGGCTTTTCCCGGGAGAGAATGTTGGAAATGTCAATCACATGAGCATGGCTGACTGTGGCAGCGCAGAGGCATAACATCACTGATCAAATAACATTGCCAAATTTCCATCCCACAGGAGTCAAGGGTCCCTGATTTGAGATGTAAGTTAGCCTATCTGAGGTACGTTGATTCAAACATGGTTGCCCTCTCTGATACAATTTCGCTTAATTGAAGGTTACAAATGATCAAACAATCGCAAGAGTTTTAGTAGTATATGCTACTATTAAATATACTAAACACTACTACATATAGTAAGTATGTTCAGGTTTTCTAGGCTTAGAAGTAGAGTGGCCTTTGGTGGGGGGTGAGAAGTTGTATAGTCTTTCAGTATGCAGGAAATCACTCAAGTGAATGAAATAAGTAACAATTATCCCTGTTTTAAAGAGATTGGAATGGGGAAGAAGTCCAGAGACCCGTTTCCCTTTGATGGGAATAAATTTCTACTTGTCCTCCAAATAGTCCAGGGGAAGAATAGGTCTCCACATGCATTAATAGGAAGATTTCCCCTGAACATACTCAAACATACAGATAATGTAACCTGGATCAGTCCCCCTCCCATCCAGACAAATTGCATCCCATTTATTTAAACCCGGGAATGCTTGATAACATTTAAGGACACCCCCCTTATGCTTTGGATTGGAAAGGCTGAACAGAGGAGATTCAATAGGGAATAAATGGGGAATAATGCTTTTGCAAGGGACAGTTTTGCTTCTTGATCTGGCCTTGTGAGTTCAAGCCATTTGGAAACAGTCCAACATTGTTCATTTCTCAAATGAACAATGCATCCCTATTGCAAAATAAAGCTGTTTCCTCCCCAGTTGCTTCCAACTGTTCTTCCCTCCCACGTACAGTAGAAGTGACTGACATTCTTACCTCCGAGAGGAAGTTGAATTTTTGCAGAAAATGTTTCCAGTCAATGGCGTGTTCGCCACGAAGTCGCTGCAGTTTCAGAAGATGGCTAAACTGCTTCTCTGAAAGTGTGAAGCAGAAATGGTGCAGCACCTGCCGAAACTCAAGGGTTGAAACTGTCCCAGTATGGTCCTTATCAAAAGCAGAGAAGGCCTGTGGGGAAGAAACAAGCGAAGTAGCTAAAAATAAGCTGGTTTGGGACAATCTTATTCCTCTAGCAGAAAAGCTCATGCAGAATGTTACGAATAAGAGGGAGCACGCAACCTGTTCTTTCCTTCAACAAATATGCAACACCTCAAATCGTGCAAAGAACCCTGTGAATTCTCATCCCAGCACTTTATGAGCTGACTTAACAGCCTCTTCTCCCTGCAGGATTATTTCTCCTGGTGGGAGGGGGCGGTGGCTGTTTACAACAGTTGCCTATAGCAACCCACTCAGCCGGAGAGCACTGGGCATTGAAAGATGGAGAGAGCTTCAAACAGCAGAACAGCTGGGGAACTTTCCTGCACACATTTCTATCCATTCAATTTGGACATCACATTGATTTAGATTAACATTAACTACCTGTCAATGACTACTTCAGCTTCAACCACAATAACACACAGGCAAACAACAGATAAAAAAACCAAGGTAAACCGCTCCAAACTCGATTGCAGAAAATACAACTTCAGCCACAGAGTGGTCAGTGCCTGGAATGCTCTACCCAACTCTGTTGTTACATCCTCAAGCCCCCATAATGTTAACCTTAAACTGTCTAGTGTAGACCTCACCCCTTTTCTAAGAGGTCTGTAAGGGGGCATGCATAAGCGGACCAGCGTGCCTACCGTCCCTGTCCTACTGTCCCCATTTATTTGTACTCATTTCCTGTGTTCGTGGCCATGTTTACTTATATCTGCTATCTCTTACATTTTTGACAAACTAACTAACTAATTAACTAACTAACTAAATAAATAACTAATTAACTAACTAAATAAATAAATAACTAATTAACTAACTAACTAAATAAATAACTAAATAACTAAATAAAATAACTAAATAAAATAACTAAATAAATAACTAAATAACTAAATAAAATAACTAAATAACTAAATAACTAAATAACTAAATAACTAAATAACTAAATAACTAAATAACTAAATAACTAA